CTCCAAGTCCTGTGCCAGCTCTCCCCCTTAGCACGGACTCTCGTCCTGAACCTGGCCCTGTAGACTTCTGACTGGTAACAATAGCTTGTACTTTCTGTTTCGAACAATAATCTTCGGTAGCAATAAGTGATGCTTTCTGTCTCGAACAATAATCTTCGGTAACAATAAGTGGTGCTTTCTGTCTCGAACAATAATCTTCGGTTTTCTTGAACGTTGAATTATTTGTAGTAAATAATTTGAGATTTAGAAATATTGGAGCTAGAAGCGATCAAGGTTATTCTATTTTTTGTTTCAGGTAATACCAGTGTGTTGCTTGCCAACTAAAACACCTTTGACAGACAGTATTTCACTGTAGTTATGTGTTTATTATTTTTGCTTATATCTTTTTTTTTATTCATGAGAAAATTCCAAATGTGATCTCATTTGAATTTTTTTTTTTTTAGTTTGGCTTTGAACATATGGTTTTAAACAGGTATACGAATAGAAATATCATGTTAATTAGTGTTATAGATTAAATGTTACCTAAAGAAGCCGCCATGATGAATCTGTTGTTTTCTGGCTACAAAGATTTATACGAGAATATTAATAACAGTAGCAAGTCCAATTTAGTTCGAGCAACAAAGAAAAACTTGGATACATTTAACAAACGTGTCTCCGTTACATATATTTTATTTTTTCATTCTTTACGAATACATGTTTCTCAACCTTTATATACGTCAACCAGCGAAACGCTCGTGAGGAAGTCCTGTGACACCTAGCTCTGAAACTCTAAAAACGGCACCCGCTTGTGGTTGGTCCTTTCTCATGTCGTCACTCAACCCTACCCATGCAGATGTGACGAAAAGCTCATCATAATTTGGCCCTCCAAAACAACAAGAGGTTATTTTCTGTACTGGGAATTTAACGGTGCGTAAAATTTGAGCTGTAAGAACAAAAAAATAAACTGTGACTAACATGTCAGCTTAATAGTTTTTACTTGTAAATGGTGACAATCTTGTTATAATATTTGAAAGGACTAACTTACAAGTTTTAATTATTATTATTACGAACTTCTTAATGAGATTTTTACCGACTCTGTTCTTTTCGTAAGTTTTAGTTTTCAGACAATTCTGACCTGTTTCAGGATCAATACGAATAATTCGTCCACCGTCATAGCATGCAACCCACAATTTACCCTCACAATCTATGGTCATTCCATCAGGAAATCCACATTCCTGGTAGGCTGGGACAACGTTGAAATCCACCAGAGTGCGTTGATTACCTGAGAATAAAAGAAATAAATATATGATATTGGAAGTCCACGTGGAATCCTAGTAAGGATTGTTTGTTTGTTTTTGAATTTCGCGCAAAGCTACACGAGGGCTATCCGCGCTAGCCGTCCCTAATTTAGCAGTGTAAGACTAGAGGGAAGGCAGCTAGTCATCACCACCCACCGCCAACTGTTGGGCTACTCTTTTACCAACGAATAGTGGGATTGACCGTCACATTATAACGCCCACACGGCTGAAAGGGCGAGCGTGTTTGGTGTGACAGGGATTCGAACCCGCGACCCTCAGATTGCGAGTCGAGTGCCTTAACCACCTGGCCATGCCGGGGCCCCTAGTAAGGAAAAAATACATGCATCCGTAGTAAAATCCGGATATTGGAATGATAATAGGAAGTAAAACATATCTAATATTAAAACTCCTATTGAACCCTCATAGCTCAACATTTCAATTTATCATGAAAGCTTGAAAAATATTATTCAATATTTGAAATAATGTCGTTATTTTCTTAACAGTTATGAATTTAATTGTTCACGTAACACGAAGTAAGACAAAAAACAAACATACTCAGAGTTCCGTGTACTAAATCAAAATCAAATGCATAGATCTTCCGAAGGAAGGAATCAATATAAAACATGATCGTGTAGCCTAAATTCCACACCATGCCATTCGAGATGCTAATTTTGTCTACATGTTTCCGGAGCAACAGGTCAGAGTCAAGACTGTATAATGTTCCTTGTTCAGGTTCGATCACAGTTGGAATTTTTTCAAAAGCTTTAGTTCCTGTAAAGAAATTAAAAACACGGTTCGTGGTCACGACACAATCCGAATATCGAAAAGAAAAACTATATTCACTTTTCTGTCATTTGTTTAGGTAAAACAAGCATCTTTACAGAACTGTCTTCCTTCCAATACGTTTACCCCCTTTTCTATTCGGTATATTGTAAATAATTCGTAATTGTTTTTAGGGAAGTTAAAAATATGTACAAATGTTTTTATCAATTAGAATCTAGTGTAAATGCTGTTACCTGTTAACATTTAAATCTGATATATATATATATATATATGTGTTTGACATTTTATATCTATCATTACTCCCACAACGTTCATGAGGCACGGTACTTCTGATAGAATACGACCAGTCACGTACCTGCCCACAGTCTCCCGATCTTGTCACACTTTCCGTCGTTAAAATTGTTGTCAGGCTTATCCAGATCTACTTCTTGCAGCAACTTACAGGATTGGTTTTTCCAGGAAAGTTGTCTTATTTCTCTGTCGACAGTCACTACTAATTTGTCAGGATCTGAAGCGTAAGGGATGACGAGGCTGACGACCTTGCCATCTAAGGGGACGATATGAAAAAAATGGAAATTTATATACAAAACTAAGTATCAAGAGCAAAACAGTAAAATGTATATACAAAACTAAGTATCAAGAGCAAAACAGTGCAGAAGAAAACAAATAAAAAATGGGTATATATATATCTTCATTATGTTTTACTTGAACTGAGATGTGTCGAGGAATCTGATGTTTTATTGTTTCCGATATTTGTTCAGAGCTGTACAAGCGTTATCTACACGTAGTCGTCCCTAACTCTGAACAGAGAAACTAGAGGGAAGGCTACTAGTGAACAGCGCCCACGGCCAACTCTTATGTGGCCTTAAAGAAGAACTTGAATAGCCCTCACTTATGACCCTAAAAGTTCTGAGCAGTTACATATCACAAATCATAAACCCTCAGATTCACAGTCTGGTTAAAAGAGGACTTGAATAGCCCTCACTTATGACCCTAAAAGTTCTGAGCGGTTACATATCACAAATCATAAAGCCTCAGATTCACAGTCTGGGCACGCTAGTCACTAGGGTACGCTCGGCTCGTACAAATTCTAAATCAATGAATGATTTAATACTAAAGTGTTTAATACTAAAGCTAAGAACAATTAATACAACATCTAATACCCTTTTATATTTGATAAAAGTGAAAATAACAAGAGCGTATTGGTGTTTAGCGTCTTTTGAAATACTTTAAACGCTGTTAAGAAAAACCATTGATGCAGGTGTTTCCAACGACAGACCTTTAAGGATTGATTGTACAAAGAATAATAAAACTAGAACCCGTGAATGGGATTGAACCCAACTCCGCCTGGACGCTAGCCGAGTGTTTTACGAACAGTGTTAACCGGGTAGATGTCGCTTTAGTGAGACATTTTTTATCAAATCCAAACGATGTCCCCCTCCTACTACAACACAAGACTAAGTTCAACCACCACAACATGGTGGAACGTCTAGTACAATATTTAAAACAACAATTACAAGCTCGGTGCAAATCAGGTTGAATATAATAAGCACACACTATACATATACATATAAGTAAAGTTTATCCTACAAACAGAAAGTTCAGCATAAGCTACAAAAATCGTCAAGGAGAGAGCAACAGCAATATGCTTTCATTATCGCTCGCAGTAAAAAAAAACTGAGTCTAGTCGAAGGTACAAGGCCACTACCCGAAATATACACTGTATTAACCTTATCTGTCTCAGTAACACTAGCACTTTGAGTTTGAGATAGATTACCGTTCGAGGCAGAAAATACAAGCTATTGTTACTGAAGATTATTGTTAGACAGAAAGTACAAGCTATTGTTAGTGAAGATTATTTTTCGAGACAGAAAGTACCACTTATTGTTACTGAAGATTATTGTTCGAGACAGAAAGCACAAGTTATTCTTACTGAATATTATTGTTCGAGACAGAAAGCACCACTTATTGTTACTGAAGATTATTGTTCGAGACAGAAAGCACCACTTATTGTTACCGAAGATTATTGTTCGAGACAGAAAGCACCACTTATTGTTACCGAAGATTATTGTTCGAGACAGAAAGCACCACTTATTGTTACTGACGATTACTGTTCGAGACAGAAAGCACCACTTATTGTTACTGACGATTACTGTTCGAGACAGAAAGCACCACTTATTGTTACTGAAGATTATTGTTCGAGACAGAAAGTACAAGCTATTGTTACTGAAGATTATTGTTCGAGACAGAAAGCACCACTTATTGTTACTGAAGATTATTGTTCGAGACAGAAAGTACAAGCTATTGTTACTGAAGATTATTGTTCGAGACAGAAAGCACCACTTATTGTTACCGAAGATTATTGTTCGAGACAGAAAGTACCACTTATTGTTACTGACGATTACTGTTCGAGACAGAAAGCACCACTTATTGTTACCGAAGATTATTGTTCGAGACAGAAAGGATATTGCTACATATTTAGTGATATTTTACAAAAGGGGAGTTATAGATGTTTTAACGATATTTATGCAACTAATACATCAGTACAGTTATTAAAATATTCGTATTTCAATTTCTATACATATTTTACATACAGTATTCATATGCTTTATTTTAAAAACTGTACCGGATTCTTGCGTTATCTACCACTCGAGGTCAAATCTACGCGATAATATTCAGGTAGCACGTATAGATGCTCTTAGGGGGTTGTACCATTTTTTATTTTATTTTTTGTAACACGTCAGTAAAAAATGGAATATGTGATAGAAACATTATTAATATTATAGCTTTAATGTCACCCTACCAAACTATAGTAAGAACTTTAGAGTTGCTATAATCTAGTTAACGCAATCTTCTTAACACTAACACTAAGTTCTGTTGCTACTTTTTTATACTAAAATTAAATTAAAATTTTACTATTCCTGCCTTTTATATTTTAAAAGTATTTTAACCGGAAAAAAGATATTATTATTATTATTTTCTCAGATCGTCCATTTTTACCGAAATATATTTACAGATGAATAAGATCCTCCAGAAATATAGTGTCTCCCCGGGGAGGAGAGGTTAAATGTCATATAAATAATAAATACTTATAAAGGTATTACTATAAGCCTTTAAATTAAAAGTAGAAAGTAATACAAAGGTACCAACTACTACAGCGGCGCCTTTAATTTGTAAATACTGCATACTGTTAGAAATATTAAAAGTGAATTCTATTAAATACTCGTAATCATACTCAGGTGAACAACATCTGTTTCTTGGGTCTCTACGTCAAGTCTACAAACGTCACCCGATAAAGCGTCTACATGCCACAAAACCTTGGATTTTTCATCCCAGTGAGGCCCTTCTCCAAGACTAGATAGTCGCTTAGACGTTACGGATACCACCATCCCGCCAGCTAACACTAACACAGACTGAGTCGACTAACGTGATTTGACAAGAATCACGTGGTCTGTACGTAGGGCAATAAACCGTCTGGAACGAAGATGTATAGACGGCTCTGATGTAACATATTGTACTCGTGCCGCTCTTTCCCACAGGGGACGCTAAATATAAAGTTTTAAAAATTATTAAGTACATTAACAAAAAACAACAACAAACACACACACACATAAAAAGTTGTGGCTAAATAGAAGTAAATAAGAAAGCAACCCGAAAAACAAATAATACAGCAAGAAAAATTAATCACACAAATAAAAATGGCCGTAGCTCAGGGATGAAGCCTACTGTTTTTGTTGCGAGGAAACAAACTATTAATGTATGCTTAATTAATTAGCTTTATTCGTCAGATATCGCCACTTTCACTTAAACCGCTGTATCAAAAACCAAAATAGACATATATATTAATGTTGGTTAATTCCTCATCGCCCCCTGACGAGAAGATGCGTCAGTGGGATGTATCAAAAAACTAGGTATATATAATAAAATAAAGAGGCGGAATGTTAGACACAGATATCAATAAAGTTAGAGGCCCGATTTAAAGCTACTTTGATCCAGAAATATAAATAAAACGTGTCGTTATTGAGTAAAATGATAACGTTGGCTTTAACAAAAGAAGAAACCAAAGTTCTCTTTCAGAGTGAATGATAACAGTTGGTTGGCATCAGATATAAATCCTTCTCCTACTAAAGTCTGACTTAACCCACTTTTTGATCTGATCACATCGCTTAATTGTTTAATTATTGTTTCGTAAACAGTTCAAATATAGAACAAAAATTAGTTCGTTTATTTGTTGAATTTCGCGAAAAGCTACTCGAGGACTAGCTGCGCTAACCCTCCCTAATTTTGAAGTGATGGACCAAAGAGAAGACAGCTAGTCAACACCACCCACCGCTAACTCGTGGGCTACTCTTTTACCAATGAATGGTGAGATTGACCATCACATTATAATGGTCCCACGACTGAAAGGACGGGCATGTTCGGTGTCGGGATTCGAACATGCGACCTGTGTATTGAGATAAAAATTAGCACATTAATAGATGACAGTAAGAATTTCCGTGAACTTTTGTGAAAGTATCTATCCTAGTACTTGTGAACGAGCCTTTGATTTAAGTCTTTAGCCCTGGTTCTGCCTGATTAGCTATTCGATAAGTAAACCAAATTCAGAAAAATACAGCACTTTACAGGGACATTTTGCAAACACAACTTATATAATAATTTAACTTGTTTAACCCAGTTCAGCAGAAGCTGACGTAAAACTTACGAAGGAAGTGGAAAGCTTAGAGTTAATTTTTAAAGGGAGTGCAAATATTAGGATTGATTTATAGTAACTAGCACATTTTTAACGCAAATGCAAATCTTATGTCTGATTTACAATAATTAGCACATTTTTAAAGGTAGTACAAGTCTTAGGGTTGATTAAAATAATTACGACATTTTTTAAAGCAAGTGCAAATCTTAGGGTTGATTAAAATAATTAGCACATTTTATAAAGAAAGACAAATACGAAGGCTGATTTACAATAATTAGTAAATATTTGTAAAGAAAGTTAAAATATCAGGATTGATTTACAATAATTAATACATTGTAATAAACAAATTACATATCTTAAGGATAATT